TATATATATATATGTGTGTGTGTGTGTGTGTGAATGTAAAAATGTATATTCATTATTTAAAATTTATATTTATATTATTATTCATTAATTATTTATTTGTTATATTAATTACATAAGTATTAAATATATTATTTATAAAAAACATCATATATAGAGAGAGAATCTGAGAGTGTTATTTTAGTATCATTGAGATATTATTGTTATTATTTTTATTTTGAATCAGTTTTTATTTTTATATTTTCCATTTTCATTTCAGCTAAAGTTAGCTAGTAATTTTGCTGTGTTTTTGTCAATGTATTTCTTATTAATTTTAATTTCAGTTTTAGTTATTTTAGTATGTTATATTAAATAAAATAATAAATGCTGTCTTGTAAACTAGCTGAAATAAAAAGTATTATATTTTATTTTATTTCATTTAACCTTTATTTTATTTCATGCATTTCAAATGGTATTTTTAATGGTATTAATTAAATTTTAGTTTTACTTAATTATAACAGTTTGAGACCACATATTTTATATATAATAGTTTGATATTTTAATCATGCAAACATGGAAAAATACATAATTTAAACAGGGAAAAATATAAATACATAAAAATTAAAACAACGTTATTATGTAAATTCAGTAAACAATGAATACAAGTATTTTAGATTCTACACTATTAGTTATGCTAGATAATATGACAATCAAATTTAGTTCTGTCAGTAATAAAGCAAAAGGGTTACACTCCAAATACAAAGGCATTCTCAAATGTATGTATTAATGTAAATTTTTCAATTCAACGTTTCAGATTAAAATAAAAATTAGAATTTTTATTCATTAGAATAGATTAAATTACATTTAAAAATCTTTTAAAAGGTCTTGGGCTTTCAGGAAGGGAAAGATTTATAGACAAAAAGCGTGGAAAAGACAAAGAATGAGAGATGGAAAGTGAAGGAAAGGAAAGACACACCTTTATGATGTGCAGTTTGGGCAGCAGATTGCAGTCAGCCAGCGTGAGATCTGGTCCATCCAAAAAACTGCGTGTAGATGCACCAGGATCTTCTACACTGTTTGCATCTATTTCCTCAGGCAGCGGCGTCTGCAAATACTCATCCAACCTCTTTAGAGACTTCAGAAGAGCCTTCTCCAGACCTATATGCAAAGGTCAAAGCTCAAAGTTAGAGGTCACTATGGTGATGATGAGGTAGTAAGTCAACTATTTGCAGACCTATAAGCAACACCAAATTAAAACAGAATTACAGAAGAAAAGAATTTAATTTCACAACCAGCAGGGTCTAAAACTCACCCTCATTAGCTTCTTTACGAGGGTTCTTGATGTAGGCAGAAAACTTGGCAAATACATCTATTCCTGCTGTGTTAGATTCTGGATGCTTTGCCACCAACTTTGGGTATCTTAAAAAATGTCCCAGGGTTGAATATAAAACGTAAATAAAGCTATTTTAAGAAATGTAACAAGTATCTGAAGTGATACAATGACAAGTGAAGTGAAAGTACCGTGGGGGGACGAGTCGTTCCTCAAGAAACTCCTCGATCTTGTTGACATCCACCAGCACCTCTCCGTTGAAGGTCATGAATGGCGGGTTGGTTCCTGGAGCAAGATCCTGCAAATCCGCCGGCTTCCTGTGGGACACGGGTCAACAAACCTGCCATCATCAATGTTGTTATCGTTAACTAAAGCAGAGATGCCCAAGCCATGGCCCGCGAGCCAAAGTTGGCTCATAATGACATTTGATTTAGCCTGCAATGCCATATCACAAGAAGAGGGAAAAAACATTTGTTAACCATTGTATTTTTTTAAATGTAATAAATTTTAATATAATATAGCTGGATATAGTGCAACATTTGCTTTTCGCCCACACCCCTAAATCAAGTTTTTTAGCCCTTCACATTAAAAAGTTTGTGCACCTCTGAACTAAAGCTATTAAAAATCATTTTTGTTAATTAAAAGCTAGAAAGAAAAAAAAAAGGTAAAATAAAATACAAATAGTAGGTGAAAAAAAAAAAAAGTAAAATAGTTTAGTTGGCAAATAAATGAGATTTAATGTGAAATACTTAAAGGTCCCCTGAAATGCTTAGAAACACACAGCGTTACTCTATGTGTTGACGTCATTTTATCTAAAACAGGAAGACAGGGCGGGACATATCAAGCAGCCCCGCCCCTTTTTAAAATAGCCAATAGCATTCGTTTATATCACAGCTTGGGCTAGAGCCATTCAGAGCCGTTGAGCTCCGTAAAGCCGCATTTGACAGGGTATGCCAGCCACAATCTCATCCATATTGCTATAAAATATAGCATTCTGTGTAGAATTCAAATAGCTCCGATACATTTTGTGGTCTGCGAAAACTATTAATAACTAATTAATACATACTATAATTATATATAAATAATACAAATATAAAAAAAATAAAAATGTCAAAAGCGCATAAGAAAATTGCTAAAAACTGAAATTAAAATGAAAACTATTAATAACTAATTAATACATACTATAATTATATATAAATAATACAAATATAAAAAAAATAAAAATGTCAAAAGCGCATAAGAAAATTGCTAAAAACTGAAATTAAAATGAAAACGATTAATAACTAATTAATACATACTATAATTATATATAAATAATATTAAAATAACACTACACTATCCTCAGTAACCGTAGTCAAAAAGTCCTAAAGCAATATTTATAGGATTGTAAATGAAATTCCTATCATTATTTTGTAAGCAAAAGTATCTCAGTAAATCCTGATATACATCATTCATCCATCATCCATCAATTCCTACATGATTCAGTTCATCAGAATAATGTCTTAAAATCTGTGGGGGCATTTTATCTTATTAGGAATCATAATTGTACTACATTTATATTTATGAATTTGGCAGATGGTTTTATCCAAAGCATCCACATTCAAGGTATACATTTGATCATACAGTCAATGGGAATTGAACCCACAGCCTTGGCATTGCTTGCATCATGCTCTTGAGCTACAGGAAATAACTAAAACTGAAATAAAAATTCATAAGAGCTAAATACAAATATAAAAAAATAAAAATGTCAAAAGCGCATAAGAAAATTGCTAAAAACTGAAATTAAAATGAAAACTATTAATAACTAATTAATACATACTATAATTATATATAAATAATACAAATATAAAAAAAATAAAAATGTCAAAAGCGCATAAGAAAATTGCTAAAAACTGAAAATAAAATGAAAACTATTAATAACTAATTAATACATACTATAATTATATATAAATAATATTAAAATAACACTACACTATCCTCAGTAACCGTAGTCAAAAAGTCCTAAAGCAATATTTATAGGATTGTAAATGAAATTCCTATCATTATTTTGTAAGCAAAAGTATCTCAGTAAATCCTGATATACATCATTCATCCATCATCCATCAATTCCTACATGATTCAGTTCATCAGAATAATGTCTTAAAATCTGTGGGGGCATTTTATCTTATTAGGAATCATAATTGTACTACATTTATATTTATGAATTTGGCAGATGGTTTTATCCAAAGCATCCACATTCAAGGTATACATTTGATCATACAGTCAATGGGAATTGAACCCACAGCCTTGGCATTGCTTGCATCATGCTCTTGAGCTACAGGAACGTCCTAATGGAAATATGTGTTCTCTGAGATCTTGTTGTGTGGAACGAGCACAGCGGGTCTTTATCTGTGAATATTGTGCTTCACCTCTTGAGGTCCACAGTGGTTACGTTGAAGATGACTCCTTTCAGCCAAAGGATCATGAAGAGTCTCTGAGAGAACGGACAGTTCCCGATACTCTCTCCATCACTGCCGGCCTGGGAGACACACAGATTATCCCATCATTCCTTTCATTACAAACATCAGTGCTCTTCAAAAGACTATGGAGTACAATGAGTTTGAAGGCGTTTTTGATTTTGTTTTCTCTGTGTGTTGCAAAAATGTCCTGATGAATGAAGACATTGTATGGCAAAATGATGATTTTAAGGGAAGTTTAAAATGTTGCAGATTTATGCAAATTCCTAAAATTATCACATTTTAGTTTGTCAATGGAGATTAATTAGCTCCGAGATGAACACAAAATCCAGAATAATAACACAGATTCATTACAAGGGCCTGACATATTATGGAATATATTTAATAATATATACATTTTAAGTATTTATATTTTATTTATATTTAAAGTTATTTAAATAAGCAATGGTACATATTTGACTAAATGAGTTATTTTAAAGTGGTTATTTATTAATAAATAATATTTAGATGACTTTCAAATCCAAACAAGCTTCTTTCATCACCTTTTCCCACAGAATAAGAAGAAATTTTTTTAATTTTTTTTTAAATTTTGAATAAAGGAACAGTTCACCCAAAAATGAAAATCAAATGAAAGTCATCATTTACTCACCCTCCACTTTTTCACAGTTTCTTTCTTCTGCTGAATACAAAAGATATTTTGAAGAACGTAGGTAACCAAAGAGTTGATGATAGCCATTGACTTCCATAGTATTTTTTTTTCCCACACCATGAAACTCAATGGCTACCGTCAACTATTTGCCAACTATTTACCAATATTCTTCAAAATACCTTCTTTTGTTGATGGTAGTCATTGACTTCAATAGTATTTTATTACTATGGAAGTCAATGGCTACCGTCAACTCTTTGTTTACCAACATTCTTCAAAATATCTTCTTTTGTGTTTAACAGAAATTCATACAGGTTTGGAACGACTTGAGGGTGAGTAAATTGTGGCAGGATTTTCATTTTTGGGTGAACTATCCCTTTAAGTGAGCTCTCAGCCTCTTTGAACCCCACAATACAATAGGAAAAACCATTAAGGAGCCAAATAAGCTTAAACTCTTCAGCTACAGAACAAACAACATCACAAGATGTTTATTCAGAGCACAGTACCAGGAATTCTGTCCATAATTTTTTAGATTTTGAGTCAAAACTCAACCCTAGCATATGCCTTAATATTGGCGTTTCCTATTCATACACTCAAAATATGAAAAACAAGGCTATTCAATTTACTTGTCAGCAGGCAGCTTGTTTAGACAAATTGATTATTATGTGAACAGACATTATTAATATTTTCTCATAATTTTCCTGTTTATTTTTGTCTGGGAAAATGCTTTTAAATTGCTTTAATCTTAAACACAATGAGACTGCAGTTGAATAAAGCATATAATAAGAAAATTAATCATCAAGAGTCTCTCTGTGGCATTTAATTTATAATGAAACTAAATGAAAACTTTATATTGCGTCAGACTACTTTTTTAATCTAATAGGGATAAATGTTTTATTTCTTTAAAGGTTTAATGTGAGAATGTCTTACCTTCACAAACAGCTCAATGCTAGGAAATCCCAATTTTTTAGCTGCTACATCGAACCAAGCCATTGTGAAATAATTCAGCAGCTATGCTGCTTTTTCATGTCTCACAAATCAAACCAACTTCTCAGATAACACTGAATGTTTTCTCTAAACTCTACATGTATAAAAATGTGTTTTGCTCAGTTCTTTGTGCAGCCAGAATGACTTATTTAATTTGGAGTCTGTCTTCATGTTCTGTGGGTGTTTGGGGTGGAAAAAAACAGTCAAACATGCCGGATGAGACACTGAAACGTTTGTTCATTGTTAAGAGCAATAGAGACGCCGTTCATGAGATGTGTGTTATGAAACAGTTTTATAGAACATCATTGTAAAACATGTTCTTTTTGATGATGGGAATCTCTGTTATGATTTCCAGCACAATAATCTAGAAATAAACAATATACATTTCTAACTGTGAGAGTGTGAATAACAATATGAAGAGTAATTACAAAACAAATTATTTTTGCAGTGATGTACATATGTGTCTGCTGCTTTACTGGTAAAGGCCTCGATTTTAGGATTGAGTGGATTTACTACTGTATTACTGTATTCATAAGTCTGGAGGTTGTGGAATGATTATGTGAGGTCTGGTCACCTGAAGATAAGCTGCCCATGTTAACAGGTTAAAAACCACAGGCTTCCGTGTGCTGAGGGAAAATCAGACCAACATAACACCAGTAGAGGGCAGAGCATCATCTTTTTAATGAGTACTGCAATTAATCAGGCTGTGTCAGTTTATAAAAAAAAAAGGTTCAGACTCTAAAACCTGATTTAATAAGCCACATTTGAATATAAGCATGCCTTTAACTGCATAGCAATTACATTAATTAAACTGCATAATGTGTCACATTTTATGTCAAATTTACTGTGGGGCAATAAACAACTGCTCAGCAACCATCCAGGGGTGCGTTTCCCAAAAGCATCGTTAGCTAACTATTGTAGTTAGTTCCATTGAAATCTATTGGTAGCGACAGAACTTTTGGGAAACACATCCCAGAATAGCAAAGGAACTGCATAGCAACATGTTAAGCACTATTCCTAACACCCTAGCAACATGCTAAAACCACTCAGAGAACCCTAGCAATCATCCAGAACACCATACCAACAATCCAAAATACCCTAGCAACCGCACAACAACATGCTAATCACCACTCAGAACACCCTAGCAACCACATAGAAAAACGCTAAAAGCTGTTCAGAACACCCTAGCAACCACATAGCAACATGCTAAACACCATTAAGAACACCCTAACAACATTAAGAACACCCTGGCAACTGCATAGCAACACGTTAAATACCATTAAGAACATCTTAACAACCATTAAGAACACCATAGCAACCTCACAGCAGCAGGCTAAAAACCAATCAGAACACCTTGGTAACGTCCTGGCAGCCACACGCAACACTCTAGAATCACGAGGGTGAGTTTTGCACATGCAAGAATTTTGCTGGACAGGGTCAGTCCACTTCACTGCCTAAACATTCAAAAGCTCAGACTAACAAACACGATAATGAGATTGGTGTGTGGAGGAATGCTTGGAGACGATTAACCCAGTCCACTATCAGGACAAAGACATGGAGATGACAGCACAAACACATTACTCACTCAGAAATATAAGAACAGAGGCAAAACACACACTCAATGATCTGCCGTTTACAGAGGTGTAAAGTATTGGAGTAAATATAATTCATTACTGTACTTGAGTATCTTTTCGGGCACTTTGTAGTTGTACTGAGTATCAAAGATATTAGCAACTTTTACTCTTTACTTCACTACATTTTTGAATGAGTATCTGTACTCTTTACTCCACTACATTTGAAATGAGTGTTGCAGTTACACTGGCCGTTTATCACTGAATAACAGACACAGGTCTTTAATGAGATAACTGTGTAAATGCCGTCACTCAGATTCTGCTGACTAAAGCAAAACTACAAAACAAACACAAACCTGTGACCAGACACTAAATGAGGTTTGTTTTTATTTGTTTGTGATCTGAAATCTGAAGAAGTTGCACTTTTCACTTTGTTCTACTGAAACACGCACAAAGGCAGTCTTTGTTACAGGAATCACTCTGCAAAAACGTACGGGTGGATTTAAGGGCATTTTTACCAGGCTTAACGTCCCGCTGATCAGCCTCCATCATACAACAAGAATTTGGCTGTGTGCACTTTGTTCCAAATTTTTTTAGACAGTTTTTTTTTTTTGAAAAAATAAATAAATATAAATAATAATAATAATAACATAAGTAAATAATAATAAAAAACTACTATTGCTGTTGTTTTGCTTGGTTAAGAACAACAAAGCTTATAAAATAAAATAAAATAAAATAAAACTACTACTGCACTCGCGGTTAAATGACAGACAGATACATACAGTAGATAGATAAATAAATAAACAAATAAACGTTATTTTAAAACACCTGAATGTGCATAATAAAAAGATTAAATGCACATCTATGTTTCAGTTAACACAACATCTGAACAAGTTAACTGCAACGGTCATACCTACAGCCAGATCTTTCCTAATGTTGGTTGAAAAGAATACTTTGTATGGCACTTTCTACTGGAATGTTCTAGAATCAAGAAAGAAACACTGCAGGTTGTGTCAGGTTCATTTTTAGCTCACATATAAATCCATCAGCTCAACACCCTGCTGACAATAATCTCAGTTAACTAAGTATATCACGAGCAACAACCATTTATGAAGTACATCACAAACAGGGTGGGAATTATGATTTGAACCTATTTTCTTGAACTTTTGTCTTGAACCTTAAGCCTTAATATATTACTTCATATATACTGTTTATTTTGTTTACGACTTAGTCTAAGCTATTTAAGTTTCTCGTCAGGTCAGTGGCTGCTGAATAATAACACTCTAGACCTAAGCTGGTTCAGCTCATGATTAGCTTAAATGACCAGTTCAAACGCATTAGTTACCAGTATAAGGTATGTTTTTGGCACTTTCATGCTAATTTTTGCAGGTCGCCCAGCAATAATACCGAGTTGGTGCTCCGGCAACAACAACCAGCTTAACCAACTTGTTCCAGTAACATTGCCCTGGACTGGGAATTACAGTCTGATTTTCTAGAAGCAGGATGACAGACGACCAACTGACCAGTAGATAGTAACACAATCTGCTGAGCAGGACATGCTGTCATTGTAAGAAACTATATGCTAATATGGCTAACAGTGCTAACAAGACTAACAAGAATGCTCACGTCATTATTTCTGTCAGTGTTTCTTCAAATTATTTATTTATTTATTTGCCTTTTGATGGATTATATGTAACATCCAGCCTCCATGACAATTACTATGGTAATCATAGTTCCCACCAAAAAAATAAAAAATACTTTTACCAGTGTTATTTTAGTATTATTTATATATTGTTATAGAATTAATATTTAGAATTAAAAATTCTTTGCAAAAGCCATAATTAATAATTTTAGCTTTAGCTAACAAAAACAACACTGATTATCACTACAGTAAAACTGCGGTAGCTTATTTAAGAAAACAGTATAATTTTTAAAATATTATTAAAATTTAAAATAACTGCTTTTTATTTGAATAATATTTAAAAGTGTAATTTATTTATGTGATGTAAAGCTGAATTTTCAGTAGCCACTGCTCCAGTCTTCAGTGTCACATGATCCTTCAGATATTATTACATAATTATGCTGATTTGCTACTGAAGAAACATTTAATTTAAATGTATTGCTACTAAAGTAGAAGTGTGGTCGCTTGGTATTAGCCATCATTGAAATAAAATTAAAGGATTTTTTGAAGTTTCCAGGTTGCATAATGACTTTGTAGATCTACAGTATTTAAGCAGAAACTGTAGTTACAATAAAAAAAGAAAAACCATGTGTTTGTGACACTCATTGCCTTCTAATTCTCCATTATACAGATACATGTTGATCACCATATGCCTAGAAGTAACATTAAATTTACCTTCACATAGAGGGAGATCTGCTGGTCATGAGGATTGCCCTCCTGTTGAGCTGGAGTCGCCATCCTTGTCTCCTTCACAAGGGGTTTTTCCTCTTCCTGTTGAACTACAGCAGCTGGTAGCCCAGGGAATCCATTCGCCATGGTGACCTCTTGAATTTTGGCCTTGAGATTCACTTCCTCTTCACTGCCCCCACTTACAGTTCTGATCTCACAGCCAAGGGGCTTCGGTGGCTCTTGAAAATGGTCATCTGAGCTCTCACTGGCCTTCAACCAGGCTGGTATGGTCACTTTACATCCCCCCTGGGCTTTCCTCCTGGGCTCATCTTCAATGACAGCCTTGAGCTCTTCTAGCCAGTTCCCCGCCCCCTCCTCTATAGGTGTTGGCACTTCTTGGTTGACTTGTTTTGGCTGTTCCTTTACAGCATCACCTCCCTCTGCAACCTCCCGTTTGTCATTGCCGAGTTGTTCTTGCTTCTTGCACACCCCCTCTTCTACAACCTCAGGTTTATCAAGTTGCTGTTCTATCTCTGTACAGCTTCCCTCCTCTGCAGGAAGCTCCTCCTTCTTGACCTGCTTTGGCTTCACAGAAATCTCTACAACTCTTTGTGACTCATTTTGAATCCTTTCAATGCCCTTTTTATCAGCTCCTCTTGTCTCCTTGGGTCCATTGACAATGGCTGATTGGGTATCCGCTACTATTCTCTCAAAGTTTTCCAGATCTCTGTCCCCCACCACCTGTTGCAGTCGCTCTAGTGTTTCACATTCTTGCACAATGCTTTCCACTAATTGATCTGAATTCTGGACCATCTCCTCTATGGTTTCACCAATCATATCATTTGATGGTTGCCCTGGTGCAATCCAGTCAATTGCCCTTTCTTCTGCTGCATTGTAAGTGGTGGACATCTCTTCATCATTATTTGTCGCTAAGGCATCTTTGTGCATTGGCTCTCCAACTGCTTTGCAGTACTCAAATAGAGACATCTTGGTTGTAAATTGTTCTTCGCCAACATTATCAAATTTGGCTGGTTCTTCCTCTTCACAAAGACTCTGAAAGTCTTCAACTGATTCTGCTGATTCTGTCCGTGGCTCTTCATCTACATCGTTTTTTACACCCTCATCATCCCAACTCTCCACCTTCACCTCCACCTCTTCATGCTCCTCTTCTTGCAAAAGTATGTCACTTTTTACCTGCTGAATTTGATCCTCTCTGGACTTTTTTATTTTCTCAAGGAGGCCACAGGTAAACTCTCTTACCTCAGAGTGCAGCAGCTCCTGGCATTCCTGCGTTTCTGTCTTCCTTTCACTCAAGGTCTCCACTTGTGGTTCATTGCCTTCCCTTTCTTCTTCGTACAGCGTTGCCAGCTTGTGATCTGCTCGATCCTTGTCCACTTCTCTGAACGCTCCTGCAAACTCTTCAGCTTCATTTCGAAGTTCTGAAACTTGTGTTTGCGTTTTTGTTGCCTGTTCAACCATTACCTGCAGCTCAGGCATTGTTAATTTGGCAGTTATGTCCACTTCTTCCTCCATCTCTCCAGCATTTACCTCTTTTGTAGTTTTGTTTTGAAGAACTGCTCTCTCCACATCTTCTACAATATCCCCCTCCTCTATTTTATGGATGACCACGTCTGTTGAAGGCATTGCATTGTCTTCTCTATCATCATCATCTCCAATGTGGATATCTTCATCCACCTCTTCGGCCAGTTCAACCTCATCTTCCTCCTCTTCATCCCCAGTCCGCCGATCTTCCATTTCCATGCATGACCCTACTGGACAGTGGATAACAGCTCCGTTAGAAATCTCCATGTTGATTGTCATATCACTTTTGGCCTGGGCCATAATTCAAAAGCTAGAAAACTGTTTAGAGTTTGCTATAACTCCGTAGACCTTGTTGTATAACTAGCACACCAAAGCTGTTCTGTCTACCTCTCCAGTCTATGTTCTGTAGAGGTATCTAGGACTTATTCTCCACCTCCCCCACCCCACCCCTGATCCCCTCATGACTTGCCTGCCCGCTCAAATCCACTCCTTGGGAGCCTGGTCAGCTCAAGATGATCGGTTTAAGGGTAGAGCACGTATTTAAAGTGATTTGGAATTCTCCATCCTGTGTGCTACCTCAAATGAACTCATTCAATGATATTTTAGTGTAACATCGCCACTGCCAAGCAATGCATTCAATGTCCACATCTCTTCCATGTCGCTGCATTGCAACAAATCTGACCAAAAGAGGGCGCTCAAAGACCACTTAACAGTGATAATCTGTTATAATCACATTTAAAATGCATGCACTGCACACTTTGCACAAACCTAACCGTGTCTTCAGTGACTTCCACGCTTCAACATTTAGATTTTTTTTTTTTGATCATTTTCACAACGAATACTTACATCAACCAATGCTTTATGCACAGCGCTCGTGCGTAAGCGGAAATCATGACGTCATATCAGCTGTTTTGGCCTCCAGTGCAGTCTGTCGCAAGTAGACGTCATTTTCGTTTCAGGAATACATCACGGGTTTACTAGTAACACTATGCAGCACATTTCATGTGCACTAGCATCGCGTAAACAGTAGCGTGTGTCAACTTGAGGGTTCGCGCTGCTTTGTTTGGAGACGCTGCTTTTGCTGAAAGTAGAAAGCAGAGCAATGAGAGCATGACGCCATGAGCTGAGCTCTGAAACGTTTGAGATCAAAGGCACCGCAGTTGAGATCAAAGGTACCGAACGCCGCGGTTACATCTGTTGCCATGCAGCAGTCAGAGAGCGGCGGAGGGGCGGCGACTTCTGAAGTCCAGCTCAACGACCAGCCCAACGCGCTCATCGCCTGTAAAGTGCCCGAAGAGGTTTTTAATGAGCAGCAGTTAAAGGTAGGCGTGCACTCGCTCTGCTTTACCCCAATTATTACTCTCTTTACCACAGCAGTGAGACCTGACCTCGCGGAAGTAAGAGTGTTCCATCAAAGCCGTATAGTACAAGAACTAAATTGTTGTTCTTTATCAATCTGAAATGAGTAATTTTTCATTTTCTGGACCGATACTTGTAGGACATGAGCATTGCACAAACAAAAAGTACTGTGAATCACGTTAATACTGTATTTTTAGTCATGTACCATGGTAATACCATTTTTTTTTACATGTACCTTGGTAATGCCTTACCATGGTAATACCATTTAGTTTTTACATGTACCTTGGTAATACCTTATTTTCTTGGACATGGTATTGACATGTTTTTGGACATTGTGTAATGGCAGCACAATGGTATTTGCATGCACCGTGGTAATACAATGTTTTGGACATTTTCCTTTGGGAATGTTGTGTTTTTTTTCTACCATTGTTTACCTAAATGCACCAAAAAGTGGCATTATCACTAGGCTGTTCTTTTAGACACTGTACTATTGTACAGTATTTTGGAATTGCATTTTTGGACATAGTACCACAGTAGTTTTTGTAAAGGTGCACACATGAAATATACATTAATTTGAACAAGTATGTGTCCTGGGGTGTATTCCAGAAAGTGGGTTTTGTTGGAAACTCAGAGTTTGTTAACCCCAGAAAAGGGAAACTCAGGGTTTTCGGTTCCAGTTAAAGACAAAACTAAACCTCTCAGTAAGTTACCATAGTAACTTACTCTGTGAACCT